GAACGGGCATTTGTCCAGAGCATCTGGTCCCAAGCAAATTTCAATGGCAGCCCTGCAGAAGCATTGGTCTAATGTGACAATATTCACTACATGTTCTGTTTACGGTACATAGTGATGTTCAAGCCAAAAATACTGTTTTGCTGATAACTGTAACATAGCCTTGAGCTATATGTGTCAACTATCTAGTTGGCTGAAAATGAAAATCTTAAGGGACCCATCATTTAAAAAAAANTCCTAAAAGGGAAATGCAACCCAATTCTGTACAAAAAGTAACTTGCTGTTTATTTCCTCATCTCATAATATTGAACATATGCTGATGAATCAGAAAATTACAATAAAATTACACAGTATAACCAGCATGACAAAGTGTTCCCAGATGTAGGTATTACCATGCAAAGTGGGTTTGTGACAAGTTGGTGATAATAGACACGCACAGCCTAACCACAAGATTCAAGAAGTGCAGGAAAAGGTTAATCAAGGCTCATATGTATGCTTTTTAAGAATGCAAGACACGAACTTGGAAACAAGTGTAAATACATGGCATTGAAGTAATACTACAAGCAATTTCCATAAATGGAGAATTACAATAATTATAGGATGTGAGCAAAATAAGTCTTGCAAGTTTTTGTCTCAGTCCAACATGCATACTTCATTTCTGGACATTCTCAAATAAATAGTAGACATAAATGCATCCCAACAGGAACAAGTTGAAAATAATTTGATGGTGACAGCAGTATTGCCAATACACAAGTAACGTGCAGAAATATTACCAAAAGACAAGCAGTTTCTTAAAGAAACAACAAATATAATGTATGTTTCAATCTACATTACTCCAAAATTTTCCTGTAATTTGAATTAAAAACTTCTATTTCTACATCCAATGTTGAGATTGATCCATAAAGAAAAAGATTGATTTTGTTTTTTAACCTAAATTTAAGTGTTTTATATTATTAATTGAGTCTCGCTAACATCTGTTTTCAGTACAAAATGTTGTTTTCATACTATCTTTAATAATACTACTAATAATCCTTATTATAGCGCCTTTTATGTCAGGAGAACATGTCAAAGTGCTTCACAGGATATATTGTAAAGTAAAGTGACTGTGTGTTTTTGTGGACGAACGTGAGAAAAGCAAGCTTTACATAATTTTTAAATTCAAATTACAACAAGTGATTCCTAATCTGAATACGAATATCCCCTGCACAGCACTGAGGCAACATTCTTTAAATTTTAATAAAATCACCAACAGAATTTTTTTTTCACAAATATGCTTTTAAAAAATAACTTATCTGCTGTGTAAATATTGGGGGAAGAGAAGTGAAAATAACCACTTTTACCAAGTCCAAATATCCAAGTATTATTTACTGTGAAGCACATTTTCACTCTACTTCATTCTTACTAAAATGATCTTCCAACATCTTGTAAATTATATTAAAAAACATACTTTTAACACAGTTTATTGGCTGAATACCTGTCATAAAATCGTAAGGTTGCTGTTACTGGTCAGTGTCCTGGCCTCATCCATCCTTCCTGGCACCTTTTCCAGTCGTTTTTCGTAATAAAAAAATCCCTTGCATTTGATATAGCGCCTTATTACATCTTCGAGACATCTCAAAGAGCTTCACCGAATATACTGTAAGTGAATTGACTGTATATTCGTGGGCAAAACACGGCAGCCAATTGCACACAGCAGTGTCCCACAAACAGTCGTGGATTGAGTGACCAAATTATTTTTTTTGAAGGGATTATTATTCCCTGTTGGGATGTAGGGGATCTGCAACTCCCAAGTTAACTCATAATTATAACATAACCAAGTCCGACATTTGCTTCGATCACTAAAAAAGCTTGGAGCTTTCTCTAAATAATAATAATAATAATAATAATAATCCTTGCATTTGATACATCTTCTAGACGTCCCAAAGAGCTTCACAGAATATACTGTAAAGTGAATTGACTGTATATTTGTGGGCGAACGTGGCAGCTAATTGCGCACAGCAGTGTCCCACAAACAGTCATGGATTGAAAATGACCAATTTATTATTGATTTTTTTTTGGAGGGATTATTATTAGGCGTGTGGAGTAAGGAAACTTGCCCAAGGTTTCACCCTCTGCCTGGAATTGAACTCAGGTCTCTCACTTGGAAAGTGAGTGCTCTAACCACTGAGTTACAGGACTCCACCTGAACTACAGGACTCCACTGAGCCAAATAAGTGGCATCCTGACACCAGGAATTATCAGCTCCAGGTCTGAGAAGGTCAGCACTGACACCCCTTGAAATCCAACATGTTCTCAGTCAAGTGTGAGGCCAGACTGGGAACTGATAATAATAATAATAATTAATAACAATAATCCCTACATTTGATAAAGAGCCTTTCACATCAGGAGGACTCCTAAAAGCACTTCACAGAATTTATTGTAAAGTGTAGTGACTGTATTTTGTAGACAAATGTGAAATTTATCAAAATTCTCCCCCCCAAAAAAATTACATTTAATTTATTATTATTATTAATTATCCTCTAGGTAAAGAAAAACTTCCTTGTGTCTGTCTGGAAATTGCCCTTTGTAACTCCAAATCTATGTTCTCTTGTTCGACTGCGTTCGTGCATCCTAAAGTATTGTTCTGCATTTCCATTTTCAATCCCATTTAATATTTTTATTCACCTGTATCAAATCCCCTCTGAGATATCTCTCAGCAATCACAATCATTAAACTCTGTTAAAATATGTGTATTTAAAATGGCTTTATCTCCTTTAGTTTGGAAATATCCTGCAGTTTTCCAATCCAATAAATACAATAATAATAATACTTGCATTTGATATAGCACCTTATCACGTTGTTGAGACGTCCCAAAGCACTTCACAGAATACAATCTATAGCGCAGTGACTGTGTTTTTGTGGCCGAAATGTGGCAGCCAATTGCGCACATCAGTATCCCACAAAGAGTCATGGATTGAGAGACCAAATTATTGTTTATTATTATTATTTTGGAGGGATATTACTCCCAGAAAGCGATCCGCCAATCAACTAACAAGAGGGTTTCTACTTACCGCTGAAAACAGTAAAGAAAAGTGTATAATGTTTCGCCCACAAAATGCACAGAGACCGAGAGAGGGGAAGCATAGAAAGACCAAGAGAAAAATAGAGATGAGAGACAGAGAGAAAGAGACCGAGAGACTTATACACACACACAGAGACACCCACACAAAGACCGAGAGAGAGACAAAGACCAAGAGAGACACACACACACAGACCGAGAGAGAAAGACACACACACAATAATAATAATCCATGACACAAAGAGACCAATGACACACAGAGACCAATGAACTAGTAGAGTATTAATTTTGTTGGAGAGCTTCAATAAAACAAATGGGACTAGAAAATTGTCAACTTGGTCAACATATATACAACAACAACAACAAAATTACATTTGTAAAGCGCCTTTCATGTCGGGAGGACGTCCCAAGGCACTGGACAGTCAGTGTTTCGGACTTGAGCCGGGGGTCGGGATTGGGAAGGGTGGAGAATGTGGGGGAAGCAGGGTGGTCGAAAGCACGGTCGAAGAGGAGGGTCTCGAGATGGGTCTTGAAGGAGGCAAGGGAGAGGGTGAGGCAGAAGGACTGCGGGATGGAGTTCCAGAGGGTGGGGGCAGAGTGGCAGAATGCCCGCCCCCCAATGGTTGGATGGATGAGGTGGGGGACAAGAAGCAGGCCGGAGGCCGCGGAGGGAGCTGGCAGGATGGTGGGGTTTAGGAGGTCGCAGAGATAGGGGGAAGCAAGGCCATGGAGTGCTTTGAAGGTGAGGACCAGGATCTTGAACTGTATCCTCTATGTGATGGGAAGCCAGTGGAGTCGGGGGAGGAGGGGGTGATAGGGTCACGGAGCCTGGTGCGCGAGAGGACACAGGCTGCAGAGTTCTGGATGATCTGCAGCCTATGGAGGGAAGAGTTGGGGAGATCAACAAGCAAGGAGTTTGCATAGTCAAGCTTCGATGTTATGAATGTGTGTATGAGGGTTTCAGCGGCCTGCGGTGTGAGATAGTGGCGAATCCGGGCAATGTTTACCCCAAATTGTGTTAAAAAAAATCAAATTAAAGCATCTTTTCCTATAATTTGAATTAGAAACTTCTATTTCTACATTTAATGTGGAGATTGACCCCCATAAGCAAAGAAATTGATTTTTTGAACCTGAATTTAAGTGAATGTAGCTAACATTCCAACAAGATTTAGTCTGTAGCTTGTTAACTCCAAGACATATATTAACACTGATGTTAAAAGCATTGGAATTATTTGCCATTTGAATAGGCACCTCCAATAATCAAGCACTCCTCCAGCACTGCACTGCAGTGTCATCCTAGACAGTAAATGGGACCGAACTCACAACCTTCTGACTCAGAGACAGGAGTGCTTCTAACTGAGCCAGGTTGACACCCAAATAGCAACTTCTTACATTTAACAGCCTCTCAGCTACTAGAAAATAAAATGTTTAATTGCTAGAAAGTAATATAATAGTTTTTCCTATGTCTTTGGCAATACACAGTTTCAATGCTTCAGCACTTATTCAGCATGAGAAATGGTTATTGCCTCAAACACTCGTGACAAGTTTCCTGAGACGCCATCCGGCACGAAGGGCACTATACAAATGCAAGATGTTGTTGTTGACAAGCAAAAGTTCTTTACTTGAATAAATCTCAAAACACATTCAAAGTAACTGTTTACGCTTATAAATAAAACACATCTGGAATTACTAACAAAACGTCACTGCAGGTAAAATCACATTCTTGCATTAAAATAAGAAGGAAAGCACTTTCTAGTTTGTATTGTTTAAAACGTCTAGCCTACCACATGCTAGTGCAGAGAGATCACAATTCAATATCTTCTATCAATAGTGTTCTTTTCATTACATAGTGACACAGTTGTGTTCAGACTAATTTCCCCCTTTTACACATACAGACACATGCAAATATATGTGTTGAAGAATACTGCTAGAAACGTGGACTTACCTTGGCATTTTCAATACAAGGACAGATAGCCCAGGCTGCACTTGCTTGAATATCTGGATTAGGTTTTTTGAGTAAAGACCATAACAACCGAACTCCATCAAGAGTTTCAATTATCCTGTGATTGAAAACATTTGAATTTTAAGGATAAAATAAACACAGGCATTAAAATAAGATTTTAAATAGGATTCAGAAAGCAAACTCAGAACAATATTTTCAGATATACTGAGACAGCAGAACAAGAGGACCTGTTTTAGAGTTGTGAAGGGCAATTTCAGGATAGATATCAGGAAGTAACTCATTACTTGGAGGGCAATTAATCACTGGAACAGGTTAGGAAGACAGGAACAGGAGTAGGCCAGTCAATCCTTCGAGCCTGTTACGCCATTCTATTCATAGCTGATCTGTACCTCAACTCCAATTACCTATCATTGACCCATATCCTTTGATACCCTTACCTAACAAAAATCTATCCACCTCAATCTTGAAAATTTAAATGGATCCAGTGTCCACAACCTTTTGCGGGAGAGAGATCTAGATTTCCACTAGACTCCGCATGACAAAATGCTTCCTGATTTCGCACCTAATCTGGAGGGTGGTTGAGGCTAGGATGCCAAACTCATTTTACAAAACTGGTTGATGCTGTAATGGTAGGGCTGTTAGGGTGAGTTTTCTGGAAGGATGAGATTAAGTGGGCTAAAGGGCCTTATTCATATGAATCTCTCTTGTTTTTTGTAATCTTAACCTTGTAACCTTTCCCATCTGACCCTGTTGATCAATAGGCCTGAACTCCTTATCTACTACAGTGGTCCACCCTCCATCTCCAAGTTTAAATGAAAACCTAATGCTTTGAAAAGAAAAACAATATGGCATCTATATCATATTTAATATTTAGTCATTAGTAGATGATAACAATTGCTTTCCATCCACCTAGACATCCTGGGGAATCATAATTTGAAGTCAAACATTATTAATGCAAATTATTTTTTCCTCACTGTGGTTTAAGCTTCACCACCAACACTGATACATGGAAAATCCCTGTTTCTGGAATCGAATATTCATTCTCTCCCTGGAGGGATGCACCCTGTTTACCAATTCCATAGAGTATTAGGCTGGTTGGCAAGAGCTAAGATTTGGGTACTCTGGAGTTTGCATTGGGGTATTATTACTGGAGTTAAACTAACTAAACTGCATAGTTTGCCATTGAAAGCACTGCCTAGAAAGCTTCCCACTCTCTTGCCATCAGGGCTTTGCCTTAGTGTGGAATATTCCTGCTTCCAATGACCCTTTTTCACTGAGTTTTACAAAGTTCTGCCCCTCCGTGTGCTGCCGATAAGCCAGGCTGGCTGGTCTGTCATCAACAGTGCCCTGGAATATTGTGTACCCACGTGGCTCAGGAACCATAATACTAAGATCGCCGCAGAGCGACATTCCGTTGCCAATCATATCATCTTAGTGCCACCTTAGATCAGATCCAAGAGGTCCTCCCTTTACTTCTCCCATAAGGAGATTAGTCAAAGTCACCATTTTTTAGTGCTCCATTAGGGTATTAGTCATTTTTGAAACTTAATATTTTAATTTTTAAAGTGCCTTCCTCTATCCTACATCTAGCTCCCTTGGCTCATTGTTTCAGTTCGGATGAAGGGTAGGTAATGAATGTCTCAACGTGCTTTACAGATTGTAATAGAAGAGAATAATATCCCAAACATTATTTATTTTCCTCTTTCAGATGTTGTTTGGCCTGCAGTGGATCTTCAACATTTTCTTTTTACTGTACTGGGAGATTTGTTATTAGAATGAAGTAACACTGCAGTATTTTGTATATCTAAAGTGGAGTTTAAGAATAGTGCACGTATTTTCCCTAGTTCTATGAATATGAATCTATTAACTGTACAAATTAGTTTTAGAACTTCAGCTGCTCATATAATTGTTGGTGAGAAATTGACTCATTTATAATCAAAGCCATTTGAGGGTAACCACCTACCAAAGCTTCAAATTTGTTAACATGAATATTAGACTCTATCTTGTATGATTAATTACATAATTATAAGCAATTATAAGTATTTACATTAGAAACATTATTTCATACTGATACAGTATGTTCAAAATCACTTAATCTCATAAAGATCATAAGGATCTGTTTCTAACAGTCTTATAATATTGGTTAATCAAATGTACAGTCTCGGTATATGAATGAAAGCATATACTTTAGTGTGAGGTGCCTCTACACTGAACATCTGTGACAAAATAAATGACCAGATTATACAGTAGAGCAGTGTTTGTAATGCCCAACAGTCCAGCAGTCCAAAGTGTACGGATCATAAAATCAGTTATCTTTGTTTAATGGTGCATAAGAAACTGAACATCACTACATTTTCCAGATGGCAAAAATCTTCCATACACTAGATTCCATTTCTCCACAATCTTCCAGATGTCTTCCTAATGTGGACAGTGCCCTTAGTGTCTCTGCTTTGGATGTTAATGGCTTGAGTTGCATTTTAGGTCATGCTCTACAGTTGTAACTGCACTGAATGTTCTCTCAGACCGTACAGTAAGACAAATGTTTGAAAGAATCTCCTCATTTGTGTCTTCACCAAAACATTCTTCCCTACCACCAATGTCAATAGACTTGTAGAGCTGCTCCAAACTCATGACAGCCACAGGCTTAGTCTCATTCACGGCTACACTAATTTCTGTTGTTTTTCACCCACAGTGACGATAAAACCCAACCATTATAATGTACTTTGCAATAGCATTGGATTTAAATTAATTCACACAAATTGAACCACATACTCCAGATCCACAAATGGCTTTTCTTGTTTGCACCAGTCTATATATTTACTGCCTACACTGGTTTTACCAAATGACTTCACTTTCTTCCTGTAGTCATACTTCAAGTTATGAATAATCCCTTGATTCATGTTTGTTTCTGACAGAGATTGTATGGGAAACAGTGAGGTCATTGAGGTCTGAGAAAACCGATCAGTTGCAAATGTATTCATGACACGTTTCACAAGCTAGAAAGACACACAATTGTGTCTTTCCTGTCTCATTTGTTTATTCAGCTTCTTGACTGGCATAGCAAAAATGGTGGAGAAACTCAACACATTTGAGATGCATGAACTTAATGCAATTCTCTTTCCTGTAACAAAAGTAGTGGGTGTTTTATTAGCAATCGTGGTGCAGTAATTGCAGTTGGACCCCTTAATTTTGTTATAGACCATATATGTTTGTCAAACTGTACCTCAAATTTCAGAAGGAATTTGATAAATAGCCACATAAGAGCAATGCAATATGAGTAGGCCAACTGGCTAATTAAATCTATTTTATTAGATCATGACATCTCTAAATTCCATTTCCCCCACTTTGTCTTTCATATTTCTTAATACATTTTGCATTTGGCAAACAGACCTTTGAAGCAAACAGTGGTGTTAGTGGTGTTAATTATCAAGAAAACAATCAATGTTTGGTTCCCATACATATTGAAAATTATCATTGGCATTAGTTGATAAGTTTTGAATGATCAATTTTGGGACAATTTTCATTTTTTTGACACTTTATGCAATATGTCATTTTAAAACCTCCAAACACTGAGTTTAGACTGAACTTTATTTATAGTTTAGTTTTACATCTGTAATTCTCTAAATCACCGCCTAAATTACAGGAACAAATCTGTGGTCTGGATCAAATTCCATCACGAAAAATTCTGGATTTGTTATATTATGTTGATTTACAATAAGAAGGTTCTGGTGGTTTCCATACATCAAATTTGATGATTTTTGAGAACCTTAATGGAATGATTAGCTATGATTACAAGAAGCTGTTAGGTGCTTTTGAAAAATGGTTTGAAATTGTGTTCCTCACATCAAAACATTATTGTTGCATTGATTATCAACGAACTGATTGCTAAGTCTGAAGGCTGTGGGTTTGAGTCACAGCACTGTATGTCACTCCAGATTGCTTGATTTTGTTTGGGTAAGTTACAGCAGTTCTCTGTAGTTGGAAGTGCAATATTCAATTTCAGGAAAACGAAAAAGCTGATAATAACCGGGTCACACTGCCTGAATCACACCTCCTGTTGGCATATCACCAAGCAGATTTAAGTGTAATCATGAAGGAGTCTTTGGCCCACAGTGTCCTACTCTTACAACTAGAGGGTTTGTATTGACAATTGACACAGTATGAGATAATATCGGAGAATTAAAAATATATATTTTTATATACTTGCTATATATATATACTTATATATATGTATATATAAATATATACTTGCTGCTCTGTTGCGATTTGTCCCATTTCTATATGGGACAAATATATACAGGATATATTGTAAAGTGGTGTGACTGTATTAAGTGGGCGAACACGAGTGAAAGGAGAGCTCAGGCAAAGTTTTTCACTCAGACAGTTGTTGGGATGAGGAATGCCCCACCAAGTAAGGTGGTGGAGGCAGAGTCCATAGTGGGTTTCAAAAGGAAGTAGGTATGTGAAGGATAGAGTCTTGAAGGGTTATGCAAGGCAGTGGGACTGAATGAACACCTTGCTGTGAGAGCTGGTGCAGACTCGATGGGTTAAATGACTTCCTTCTGTGCTGTAAAGTTGTATGATTCTATGTCCATCTCATTGGTAAACAATGCTAGCAATCTTCAGTGTGATTCAATAAGCATTTTTGACCAAGATATGGAATTTGCTTTCAATCTACAGTTTAATACTTTTGAACAACTACTTATATTTGTATCAAATGTCAAAATGATTAACTATTTTCAGGGCTAACTGAAAATAGTTACAGTTAGGGTTGAACCAAGCCAAGTATTTTTTGGAACTTAAATTGACACTTTGGAAAATTTCAATAGAAGAATAAATGTTAACGATTATGCCTATTAGGAGCACGAGAGCATTCCATATTTTCATTATGGGCCCAAAGAAATTCAAGAAATTATTTGAAAACAATAGCAGATCTCTTATTATCACCAACAACTTGCATTACATGGCATAATTTACATAGGATAAAGTTCAAAGCACTTATACAGGAGGAGTTCATTGTAGGCAAGATCAAAGAAGTGGGTTTTCAGGAGGCTTTCAAAGACAGATAGAGGGCCACGTGGAATGATTTTGTCAGGT